ATATGCTTACCTAAGCGTCTGGTAGTCGATGATAAAATTCTTAGAAAACGTTGGGTTTCATCCTCTCCCTCCCCCCGCATTAGGTTAGTTTACATAAGGTTTCCCCCTCCCATTCCATTAGGTTAGTTTACGTTGGGTTTCATCGTTCCCATTGCATTAGGTTAGTTTACGTTAGATTTAATCCCCCCGTACACTTCCTCCACCGCAAGGAAGGTGAGTGGGTGAGGCGGGGGGGATCCAGCTCTCTCCAAATTACCCTACTATTGTATAAATGTTATTAAAAATTTAGCATTGAATTTCTACGAATTTTACATTAATACGTAGAATTGCACAAATATTATAATATTATTATTTATATTAAAAAGGTTGGGTTGGATTTGAGATAGTTTAAAAGATTCATCAAAACAAAATTCACTTTAAATTTATTCTATGTTTCATTTAATTTGAAAAAATATTCAAAGTCCATATTGAATTAAAAAAAAATCAAGTCCCAGAGAGTGAGAATTATGAATAGAGTGTAGCAGATTTTGTGAATTTTTAAATTGTTGAAAGAATTGTTTATAATCGAAAAAATGAGTTTTTATAGTCTGATGAGGGTTGTGCAGTGATCCCTAGCGTGATTTTAAAAGCTGGAATCATTGTTAAATGTTATTGGCCTGGCTTAAATGAGGTTCTATNCTGGAATCATTGTTAAATGTTATTGGCCTGGCTTAAATGAGGTTCTATATTTAAGTGTTAAATCTGTATGTTAATACTCGTGAATGGACTGTAATCATAAAATATTAAAAAACATAGTATGAAGCTCTATCATGTGTAAAATATATCAAATGTCATTATAACCTAACTGCATTAGTAACCTACGCTGGTTAACAAGTAATACTATATGCATTACGTCGTGTAGCTTAATCTGTGAATATTGTGCAATAGCCCTTAATATGTCGTGGTATCCGCAGAGTACCATCGACACATAACATTAGAGTACCGCCTTACTCGTGTACCCTAGACGTCAATCGACCACCGCAATGCGCCGATAACGAGGTCTATAAAACGGAAATAATTAAAATATAGTTAAGGCACCATACTCTAATTATTTATTTCTGATTACGTGAATTATGCCTAACGTAGCTGTGCGCAGGTGAACTCATGCAGTTAACTTATTTAGAGTTGCTCTAAATGTTACTATCAATAATATTGTGTTATTATAAATTTGTCTATTGTAGACAAATTTATTCTACGCAATAAATAAAAACAAACTTACTTATAGGGAATGATTAAACCAACTTGCTTTATTAAGAAAATAACTTATAACAAAAAATGAAACANCAAACCTACTTGCTTTATTAAGAAAATAACTTATAACAAAAAATGAAACAACAATTAAATAAATATGAAATATAAAAAAGGGGAATATCTGCTACGTCCTTCTTCTTCTACTTGGTTCTGAACACTGACCGTCGTTGAGACTACCAGCAACCCTCATGACCTCTCAGCCTGGTAGGTAGTACCGATCCCTTATGTGACGCTAGGCAGTTGGTCAACCGGTCCGAACTACTTGCCTTTCTGTTCGCCGACACTGTACAATAATCAGATTTTATCTCATAGTTAACTGGTTATATTTTGTTCTAAAGAAGGAATCTTTGTTTTGGTGGTCTTGTATATTCATTATAAGCGACATACAAGTACAAATGATAATATAATATTACAATTACGTAACATAAGCTTCAACTTATCACATCAAGAATGTCAAAAAATAACAAATTAAAAAATTTACCGGTCCATATTGAACAAATGAAACCATTTCATAGCAGATCAGGAGAATAATAATAGTTAAATAAATTCTTGAATTTATATTTATACTTTTGCCAGTCATCTGATTAGTGATCTGATATAAATAATGTTATAAACAATTGCGCAAGTCGTGCTGATCCAACACATAGTTGACCACTCGACTTTTGCATAGTCAGGTCAAATATTATAATAACAATTATATATAAAAGTATAAATCTGAACGTGAGATATATAAAAGAAGTAAGTAAATTTATATTAACCCAATTATTTAGAATTAATAATCTGAGTAAAGAATGGTAAAGCAATAGATTTTTTAAACATCATTTAATTTAATTATTAATAACTAGTTAGTGCTTGGTCATATACTTCGACTGGGTGTCTGAGAGGAGGCCTCCGCCACTCCATGAACGCCTCAGTATTTCCACTAAAGCACATACCAGTTAACATCACGCTTCGACTGGGTGTCAGATAGGAGGCCAAGAACCCGGCCACTACAAGAATACCTCAGCGTTTTAATACCTCTATGAGAGGAACTTAATTTGTATCTTTTTATATCTACTTGTCTTTACTGTTCTAAACCCTCGGACTCTACTACCCCGATAGAACCTCGTTGCTCCTGAATTGACCAAATCCCTAACATCCAACATTGGTCAAATAAAATTCCCCATTCACGGTTTTTGCTTATTTTTTTATATTACTACATATTGGGTGACTTCCTTTAATGTTATTAATGTAATTATTTAAAGTATTAAAAATTACTTATTGTACAGATTGTTTTTCTAATAAAAAAAAAAAATCCTTCCCGCTAAGTTTAAAAATTAAACAACGACACTTCAAGTTAATTACGTTTAACAATAGTACAACAGACTACTTGACACCACTCACCGACAACTCACACACAGTAAGACTAACCCCAGTAATTTGTGACAGCTGAACAAACCGAGATCACAACATGATGACTAGCGTGACAATAATTTTGTAAAATAGATGGTTAAAAGTGCTTGAATTAATTATAAATGTTTTAAAAAGATTTAACTTTTTCTTATTTAAACAAAAATTATAGCAACAAGAGATTACAATATTAAAGAATCACATTTATTTCTGATATAGGAATTATGGCTTAAATGCTATACTTAACTGCTTACAACTTTCTATTAATATTCATTTTACATTTTATTATAAAATAATGAAAAGTTTTAATTTACTGTCCATTTTTACTTTATTAATACGCTTTTATTTTGGAATGCTATAATTCGTAAGCATATTACCGAAATACTTTTTGTATTTTAAAAACGCCTATTATTCTCGATTTTTATTATGTTAATATATGAAACTCTGGTTTAGTCGATTATAACACCTAACGTTCTTGCTGATAAAGCAATTGGCCTGCACGATATACAAAAAGGTGACCCTGACATTCATCATTATCTTACATGACGACGTTCAATGATGATAAATATTTCACACGGTGTCCAATATTCCAATGAAATAACATTAGTTATTAAAATCAATTATTTTAGCATCTTAATACAGCTCGATTAATATTATTTTAGATATTTATAATTATTATAATTATTAATTATTGATGAGTGTTATATTATTTTTATCGAATTTTCTCTTATTCCAACAGCGACCGAAGTTTTTTCTGGCACTGTCTGATGATGATGATGATTATTACTATAATTATTTATTACGCTGATTAAAAACAGAGTATATTTATTGAAAGTCAAAAAAAAAGATGACTTAAGTCAGTCTAATTATTATTGCTGTAAGCATTATTATTATAATTGATTTGTATTTTATTACAGCCTGTTCGATGATTTCTTTTTCCAACATCGTCTGATGATTTATGTATTAAAAAAAAAGAAAACATGAATTATTTCTTATTAATTATTATTTCTTTTTTAACTTGATTCATTCTTATATAAATGTTTAATTTGTGAAACGNTCATTCTTATATAAATGTTTTATTTGTGAAACGATTTTACATTTAAGTGTTATGATTCAGTTTTCGATCGCACCTATTGGTTTAATATTAATGGCTTTGACTAAAGATGTTGACTAATAGATTAAATTTTTTAGTCACACTTTGAAAATTTTACCTATAACAGAACCTTTTAATGCGAGCTTTTAGTCAATAATGTTATTTTTTATCGTATTCGTTAGACGTCGAGATTTGGTATTTGAGTTTTCCAATATACACTATAATTAACTGAACGTAAATTTTACTTAACAATTGTGAGTTATAATTGTCAAATGTAATTCAAAATATAGACTTAAAATTGAGTTACAAAGACATTTTACGTAAAAAAATGAAATGTTAT